GGGGGAAGGGACCGTACTTTGGAAATGTTGCCCAACACCAGGACGTGTCCCATGAGAAACATTTGCTCTTCTGTGCGCCCTGCCCACAGCACAGTGCCGCGAACGTGAAACATCAGGCCGCCGCGCGGCAGTATCTGCGCGGAGCTGCAGCTCGGATGTCTTGGTCCAGATGAAATGAATGGCTCAGCAACTCAATTATGATCAATGTGTTCATACCACAATTTTCTTCGTTTCCTCATACGCTTGTGCTGGTTGGGCGCATCGATACAATGACAACGTAATGGTCTTCCGATCTGATCTCACGTAAAGATTCACACCATATGCCAAACCAACTCCTCGAATACCTCGCCATAATGGTCCTCAAAAACTGAAGCTCCACAAAACACTAGAACATTGCTGTAGACAAAAATATGCATGTAAAATCGCTACTGCGGTTGCGGGGGGAGGAGTGGAGGTAACGATACCATGCCACAAACATTTTCTATTCGCATGTTTCCTCTAACCAAAGCACTATTCGCCCAGCAATCTCCCCTCCCCCCACCCAATTCCCCCAAAAATGACCGGTGACTCCTCCACCTCCCAACCCCCCCCCCCCTCCCCAGCCACACTAATATAGATGAGTAGTCATATACTCACCTTCACACTGGCTCAAGTACTGTGTTAACAACATCGTCGGTACAAGTTCATCACTCATCCAATCACAATCCATCATACATGATTGGTAAATGAACGAGGACTCCGAGCCACCAACACTTATCACTTTTTGCCTTCCCACACATGCAGTGTCTAATGATTCGCCGGCTTTAGCCTGAAACAACAAACTTGACCTTGGTCGCAATATTTGACAAGTAAGCGTGCGGTCGTGAAGCGGTTGAAATTGAATTCGCATCACTGACTGCACACACTGCAGTAAACATTGCATATGGAATAATCACTTTCTGCCTTCCTACTAATCCAGTATCTAACGATTCCTTAGATTTAGTCTAGAACAAGGGATTTGGTCGTGGTCGCAATATCTGACTAATAGCGTGCGGTCGCGAAGCGCTTAAAATTGATTCACATTTCATCCTTTACTGTATAAGTTGTAGAAGAAAATTGGCACAATGAATAAAGTGTATGATAATGTTATGCAAATATGTACCCCCTGGTTTAGGCAAGTCGTCCTATTGTACTTTGAGAGGAATCAGGCTGCACGCTTGACTTTCGGCGTTTCATAGAATTCTCAGCAAAAACTGCTCAGCATAGCAACACTCGCGATCAAACTGCTTGCTATCAAGAAGATCGACGTTACATAGCAAATGAGCATTGACACCATGCGCAAACAAGGCCGATCGAAGCTAAACTGACTGTTGAGCTCCTTTCCGAGACTGTTTTGGAGAACAAATTTATTAAACGTACCTCTTCAAGTCTGCTCAATACTTCTTGCGGGTGCGAATCACAATCCTTTGCGATTTTCTCGTGAACTTTCTCGAGGATTCAGCTCATCATACGATTAGGCGCCATTGGTGTCTGAAAAGCAATTATGATGAAGTTTAAGGCACATTCCTTGAATACAAATGGGCAAAGGAATGGGCGTTGACCCGTGGTCAACGGCGCACCCTTCCTTTTTATCGTATCAGAAAGAAGGAAATACCATGTTAAAGACGGTACTATTCACCGTCCTCTGCGCCCACGTTTTGAAGTTTTGATCTAGGCTTTGTCTTGTTAAAAATTTGTCCTTAGGAGGTGGTTTCGCTCCAGAACAGAATATGCACACGAAGTGCCAACGCGCGTTTGGACCGCCAGGTGCACCGCCACCGTCCTTGACGGTGATGCCTGTAACGCGGAACCAGCCGATTTCGTGCCAAACGGACTGCTCAGGGAGCTGAGGTCACACGGCTGGAGAAAGCCTTTTTGGGCGACCGTGATAACCAACGGTCCCCTCTGGTTACCCGCCATGGTAGCCGCTTTCTCTGTTAAGAGACTCGTCTAAACGTAGACGGGATCCCTATCTCGGAGAGAGGGGGGGGGGGCACAAATGCAGAAAAAGCCTCGCCGCCGTAGGTCTCTCTTGCACTTTTTACATCCTTAACACCTAAGTGAATGTGATACTCGTGTTGAGGGGATCACAGTACTCTCGTAAACAAATTTTAAGCGAAAGAATCTTCTCGGTTGTAATGACTTTTGTTGTTCTTTCTAATGATGCATGTACCTGTGCAATGCAATAAAAAAATAAATCTTAAGCCAAATCTACCCTCGGAAAAAAATCGGTGAATCTCGGCACGGTTTTGAGAGGTGGAGCAGCTAAGGATAAGGAGTGCCATGAGAGATACATTGTGAGTCTCCGCCCATTTCTTCGCTATCGTGTAATGTGCCTTTCTCCATATTCTTTGCCGTCTCATTCCGAGACTACTCAACAAACCACCACTTACTAGGCAAATAGATCATCGTGCAGAGAGCCGAATTAGCTACAGCACAACCATCACGTTTCTTTTCACGTGCATCACTCGCTAGCTTCTTTGCACATTGTTTCACTCGTTGCACATCAAATATGATACCAGTGGTGAAAATCTCCGCCCATTTGGCTAGATTTGGGAAACCGGTTTCTGCATCGACCTGAAATAATGCAAGAGCAGGATATCACTAAAAACTAATGAGAAGGAAGAAATCGGGGTTGATGGTTATCTCTATGAGATTCACCGTGAACTCGACTCCGACTCAGAATCGTAGAAGAGACTGAAAGTGGACGGGCTCGTGAAATGACGTGCAAGACAAGCAGGACTAAAGGAGCGCTTCGAAAGACCAACTGCACCCTCGACTACGTGGTTTCTGGCCCTTGCCGCGTGCGAGGTGCATGGATCCGCAGCTGCAGCAGCGTAGAGGTTCCTCCGGTCCATGCCGCCTCCAAACTTCGCCCGCACTGCCGCACATTTAACCACGTGCCTAACCATCGGCAAACGGGCTTCTTATATTGGCCGTCTCATATCTGGCTGCTTTCTAACGCTAGAGGCATGTTTCTGCGGGACCTTGGCATCGAGGCACCTGCGGCACTCAGAGGATAGTGAGGGCGGAGTATGGAGGGTGCCACCGGCCAGCCCCGCTCCCGTGCGCTTTTGACCGGAGAAAACAGCACGCTACAGGAACACATGGCAAGTACGCAAGGAAACGTGTACAGGACGCATAAAGGCACGTTCCGCCTGGTAGGTAGAATCATTTTCATTTTCTTTTTTTTCACTTTTATAATTTCCTTCGCTTGGACGATAAGCACGCGCCACTCAAATCTGCGTGGTAAGGAAGCCAGTGCTTAGGTTTCGACTGAACACACTTTCCCAACTACAACGCACGTACACACAATGACTCGTGGTAACCTTCGACTTTGTGCTCCCATTATTTTTACGGATATGTGCTTCGCGCCCGCTCGTTGTCTGACCCCCCTTCCGCGCGCTCGGCATCTCTTCGGTTCTCGCTTTTTCGCACAGTCATCTAATGCTCACGAACAACTGGAGAAAAAAGATAGAGAAGGGATAGTCTTCCTCAAGACTTCTTCGAGGGTTCTCCCTCTTTTTCTTTACTAGTATTTATCATACAATATCGTTTTTCAATCGCATTACCTAGAACTGCAATTGCAGAATGTGAATGGACCCAGTTAAAAAACACCGACATCTCGATCCATTCAGTCGTAACGACCCGCGCTCCTCCGCCAACTGCTAGACCTATGTGACGTTTCAGGTAGGTTTTATAACGGCTGCGATTGAACCAGCAGTTACAGCGATACAACGATTAGCGGCGGAAATGGATCAAGTCGCGAAGTATGAACGCACAATTCGTCCACTCAGACCTTTCAGATCAAGAGAAAGCAATGAAAAAATCCTACCACAAGTCTTAGATGTAGTAACTTTTCAAAGTTGCCTGATACACCAATATATATGGAATGATCAACGAGATCCTGAAAACAATCAGTTTTCGGTAAGCGCGAGGATAGAAATATTATGGCAGAATAAACAAACCCTTGTATAAAGCTTGGATACTTCTTCAGCACTTTTCACGACACCGTCTATCTTGGCTGGTGACTCAAACAGCAGTTCCGTGTAAAGATCCAATAATGCACGCTGTTCAAGTGTCAAAACGCTCGTGTCAAACAATAAGAACAACTCGACGAACTTTGTTGGACAGTTGTGGATAGTTGCCGGAAAAGGGAACTGATCCAAAAACTTGGCGATTGGCTGTGTTGAGGGTGAACCGCCTCGATTGCACTTCAAATCAACCGGGAATCGATCGAATTCTTCCAATTTTTTCACGATCAACTCGCTCAGCACTTCAGCGCTTGGCTTCTTCGCTGTGTTTTCTTTTATGGCTGTTTTGATATTCTCACCACACTGCTTGATTCCATCCTTTCCAAGCTTTTTACGTTGCTCATCCAGTCGAGCTTTCTCCTCTTTGGCTACCTGGAACGTATATCTTCCAGTTCCTACAATTTATAACAGAGAAAATTCAAAAAAAGCAGTTGAGAACAGCATGCCGGCAGCGTACAACATCGCGATGTGTGAAATGGTGGTGTCATTACGACCCCCCCCCCACCTAAAAACGGGTTTCGGGACTCCCCAAGACCTACCGACCTACCCAATTTCCGATTCCCACATTTCTAGTGGGTTTCGAGATCACAGCATAGGAGCGTTCTCCGTCAAGGGAGAGAGGGGGGAGAAGGGGAGGGGGAGTAGTGGGGGAAGGGGGGGGCACATACGACTCCTCCCTCCCCAGCAGAAAAGTATGACCCCCTCTATGTGCTGCACACTACGATGCTATACCCTGCATGTCGGACGTTAGGTCCACGTTGCGGCGACGCGTAGCTCCCAGCAGAGTGCTGTCCTAGTTAGATGACTTAGCACTTCCTCGAAAGCGCCCGTCTCCTACTCTCCCACCTTACCTTATCCAACAACGACATTTGTTCTTACCTTGCTTGATAAATCTCGTATTTTCATTTCGGGATCGAGCAATAGTGTCAGTACGACCTCCAGAACTTCCTATCCCAGTACGACCCCTCCCGAGCGACCAAGTCTGACCTTCCCCCCCCCCAGATGGGATTCTCCAACGACACTGTGCCTTGCTTTCTTTCCCTTTCTTATACGGACGCTCTGACTGTACGGGAGGTGGACGGACAATTGTAATTTATCCGTTGTCGCACGCGGCGTGTCATGCGGCGACGCAAAACCTCGCTGTGCATTTTTTGCAGATTGGAGCAGCAAATTCCGTACAATTCAAGACAAAACAGGCTCCATAATGGCAGATAGCAAATTTTCCGGTCCCTTTACACTCAAATTTAAATGGCCAGAGGACCACTCGTCCGTCGAGCGCGGCTCCGCTCGCCATGCCCAACAGCCCGGCATATGATGATTGTCTTGTCACATATCCCTGATTTCACACCATTTTGCATGACTGTTCGGTGAAGCCCGTCTTAGTGATGCATTGCGATAGAAAAACAACAAACGGAGGCTGGTGCGAATGTCGCGCGCGTAACACAACGCCGCCTTCAACGAGTTGCTACAACAGGAACGTTATGTCATACCGCTGAAGAAGAAGTCACCGTCTCTACTCAAGAAGCTCCTATGAGGACGGCATGGAGACTCAGAGCGGCTAACTTGTGCACAAGATGGTTTACGCATGACAAGTTATAGGTCGCGTCGCGTCCGCACGCTTACCTACCAGGTAATGTGGACGCAGCTTAACATGCTTCCATATTCTGTGAAAAAATCAATGCGGGAAAACAAAGAATAAAAACGTTCAAAATAATCAAAGAGTGATTGATATAAGCCTACCTGCTCGACCATCTTCTCACTGGGTATCCCTAATACAACCACATGAGGGCTAGTGAAGTATTTCTTTACAATACCAGACCAAAACGACGCCGGCTCTGACCGTAGACGACGTATGAGCTCCAGCTTAAATATGTTAGATATAAACTTTGAAATCACATTATTCACCAGCAAATTGCCGTTGACGTTTTATGAGAGGCCATGCGATGCAAACTCGTCCAGATCACTCGTCTAAGCCACTAAACTGCAGTATCTTCTCGAGCAGAACGTCTGATCAGTTTAGGAAACGCCGTAGCGCCCGGACGAGTTCTATACTGGGAATACGGTAGCACCTCGGGTCAGTGGCAACGAAATCGTGCCGTACGACATACTTCCCCCTTTTCTTCACAACTTCTTGAAAATATACCCTTACCTCATCCATTCGAGTTTTCAGCTGGTCATCATTCTCGTCATATAATTGGTGTCCAATCATATGACCGAACAACTGTGTTGCCGGATGTTTTTCCATCTGTAGAAGTAATGTAATATTATGGGATTTCAGTGACTCTATTGCAAAAGGCGTATAGAGGGTCAACTCACCTTCTTCAACTCATTCTTAACCGATTGTCCGATAAGGAAACCCATTCGCTCCATATCCCACGCGCTATCTTCCAGATGCTCTTTGACTACCTTTTCCATAAACCTGCAAGATAAGAAGAGATTTGTCAGCGTTAGAGTGCGTTATCGGTACGACACTAGCACTGCTCAACTCGGAATTCGATTCACATAGGTTCATAACTTTACTATCCTTCACTATCACTGATTCACCCCTGCGCTCCCACCCCTTCGTTTTCCCGCCTCCCTCATACTCGTGAGATTCTCCCAAAGTTACTGTGCCCCGTCGCCTGATCGCTACTTTCAATGCGTTCTTGAACAAGCAGAGGAACAAAGGCCGGCTGCATACATTCATTAGAACAAACCGCACTGCGACCGCGCGCTCAGTTTGCTTGTAGTAAGTGCACGACAAATCCAACAGAGCTAACGAAATGACTCACTTTTTGCTGACTTCTTCTAACCGTTCTGTTGGTACACCAGAAAATGACAGTTGAATAAGGCATGTAGTCTAGAAAACCATTATTTCTGGGGGTTATTGCTGGGTGTTCAAGCAAAATGGTAACGGAATCAAACCTGTTCGGTGACGTGGAAGCTAACTTGACTCGCCAAAGGCTTTTCAATCAGTACGAATTCTCGTTGTAATGGAGATACGGGAGTATTTGACATATAATCGAATAATACATCGAAAGCAACTTTTTGCTTGAAATCCGTTGGAGGGTGACCGAACCTGAAAAGTTGTGCTATTTTTTAGAATGAGAGTTACAAAAAGAGAACGAAGTGTGGCCCAAATGTGTAGAGTTAGAGAATATGGAACGAAACTAATTTCAGCGTTTGTCACGACAATGTATTCGCGACGCAGCGAGTGCCGCGCATCTGACAAGGTTTACACCAACTCTATCTTGTTCTTCTAGCTGCGACACGGACGTGATCATCAACACCCAACTCCACTATCGGAACAAGAGTCGAAATAAGCAACCATGTACGCCAAAGTAAAGCAAAATTGTTACTGTGATCAAATGGTTAGGTCGAAATGCTGAGCGTCAGGAAATGATCCTGCAGGTAGCTGAAAGAATCAACGCCCCCCCCCCCCACTAACGAAAACTAGTTGAGAAGTAGCAAAACAGATGTGTGCAAACGAACAGGCGGAGACACACGATCACTGAGACTCTCCCAATGGCGGGCGTCCCCTCTAGAGTAAAGAAGACCGTGCTAATGAAGAAAGTACAATGATTTCGTGCATGCGGCCGTTCCATTGTCGCTAATTGGTCTGAAGATGGCGCTCACACTTTTCGAATGAGTCTTTGAGCGGAACAGCGATTCAGTAGAATCAAGGCGACAAAGGATCAGGCCAGGATCTGAATCCGCGCTCTAAATTTTCAAGAAAGCCCCCGGTACGCTTCTCATCCGACCCTTTTTGGTAAGGCAAAGGACAGAAGCAAAGGATTCATCTATCGGCACGCTAACACTCACACCTTCTCGTCACCCCCCCCCCCAAGACGCGAAAAAATCGTCAAACAACTAAACCTTACCAACTGATCTCAACACTTCCTCTCGATTCATCATCACTTGGGCATACAACGCTATGTTCGCTTGATTCTGCCATCGGTTTCAACTGATGGGAAATAAATGGCCGTTGGAATGATGCCGGTATGTCCGCCAAGTGCTCCTTAAAAAACAAGTGTGGATAGATAGAAATGTCGCAGCAGGAGAATAATGCTTGTACCTCCTCGGTAGTCTCAATAATCTTCAGCAACCTTTCATGATTAACTCGCCCTGCCACTGTGACCATCATATTCGATAAGTGATAATATTTCTTGTGGAAATCGCGGACCTTAAAAATATTATAAAAATTCTAATAAGGCGTAAAATAGATAATTAGGTCATATTCTTACCTTTTTCCAAATTACACGTCGTCCTAAGACTCGGCAATCGCCCACCCGTGTCGACACGATATGAATTGTTGGGAGGGTACAGAATCTCCTTCTTCTTTCTCAAAACAAATCACACTCGAAAATGAACTTAACATGCTTAACAGTAAGAGTACCCGCCTATCCATTATGCATGACATTTCCGATTCATGATCTTGCATTTCACTGTAGACCACACCAGCATCTTCACCTTTACCATTAATGTGATGGACTTCAGTAGCGAATTGAGATGGCTCAAATGGAATAGAAGCAATTAACGACAAAAAACAAGACAGAATAATTATAAAGAAGCGGTGGCACGATGGCCAAGATGACGAAGGCTCAACATATGAAGTCATGCGGTCAAAGGTGGGCATGGCCGTTATGTCAACACAAGGCGTTACTCAAAACAGCATACAAAGTAAACCGTCAAGAATGTCCACGATAGGGTCCCTGTACACTTTCCAGTAAACATGGCACGAGTGTTGCCCGCGATCGGTACCGTTTCGAGATCTGCAAGCTGCATAACAGTTGAATGCGATAGGCCAGCGTTTTGCAGCCCCAAGCAGCAATTATCTACCTCACCGCTCTAAGTATTGGTTTTCGCAATTTTTTCGGCTTTTTGCGTTATTTGCTCGTACCGCTCGCTTAAGGAACCGCGGGCCAGCTGAAATGGATCCAACAATGTCGCCATTTCCAACCGCGTGCACACGCGCAGCGCACTGCGAACGACATCAGGCAAGCGCACACAGGTGTTCGATACAGTTGCCATAAAAAATCATATAAAAAATGCACACTTACCGACAACATAGGAGAAAGAAGATGATTGAGGTAGACCGGTAACACTTTGAAGAACCCTTCACTACCAACCTATAAGTTCACTACATTGATTAAAGACAGAATCAGAAGGGCGTTCATACTTTGCGAACTGCGTTTTAGAGAATGCGGCGTCTCTAGGCGCGTCAACAACGTTTTCGATTGTGAATCGTGGCGTTTTGACGAAAGCGTAATACGAGGAGCTCGGCGGGGTCTAAATACTGAGTCAAAAAAGCTTTGCGAGCCCTCCCCGAAAACGCTAACGATCGGTGCAATTCGATAACTATGTATATTCTTTTCACTCAGGGACACCGATTTCCAAAACAGATAAGTTGACAGTCAAAGTATGAACGCAGCTCATACGTTTGTATTCCCCTAATCAGTAAGAAGAAAATTACTGTGCTCAGTGTGTACGCTGTGTGATCCTGATCGGTCCATGCGTTTGTACCGCTGGCCAGGCAACGGTTTGCAATGACGTCCAATACACCTTTGTATGGATATTTCTTGCTGCCCATAAATACCAAATGCTCCAACGTGTGAGGTAGGCCATCATCACAATCCGTCTCGGTCACTAAAGTTAAGCGGAAATGAAGATCTAAGGGTTCATCCAAGAAAATCTGGCGCGCTTCGGCTAGGACGGGCATTTTGCACTTTCGCTGTTTTCCGCTGTTGTGAACGTTGCTCTATAAGAGTTGACAGATATTCTTTACCAGTTTCCACAAACTTTTACTGGTTTCACTTCATCGCTCCATAAGATTTCACAAATCTCTGCTTGATGGCTCGATGCGACTAGAAGCAACGAAGGCAAAATGCCTCACCCCCAACCGAACTGCGCCGGAAAACTGTATAGAAAAGGTTCAAAAAACAAAATATTCCAGAAATCGGTTGGAGCAATAAAGGACAGGACTCACCAAATGAAATACACCCTTTCACCAGAGGGCCAGGCACATCACCGATTGCAACAACTAATCGACTACGAGTCGAACGGTACAAAGAGACGGCAATGGTGCCGTTCATCAGCACCTCCGATTTCCTCCAAAATCGAGACATCATCTGAAAAAAATAAAAAAGATATTTGACAAATGTAGCTGCAACACCTTGCAAGAATACTCCAAGACACGTACTGAAATAAAATGCATAAAAAATGATATGAGGCACAGTGAGAAGCCACTTCAAAGGACTCGCCTCAGCCTATGGTGGAAAGCCTGCTGAATAAGGCTATTCAAAGACACGCTCCCTTTTTAAAAATGTTGAGCTGTGCATCTCAAATACTAATGACAACATGGTAGATAACACAAATATGAAGAAAATAGCGGAAAAGCCAGCTCGAAATGCCTCATTTAGAAGCCCATGCTGCGCTTGTGTGTGCTAAGGCGAAGAAAGGGCGTGGTCGGACGAGTTTTCATTTGTTCAACTCTTTCCCTCATCACCTCACTCTCACCATTCGAAATTGCGAGAGCTAGTAGCGGAACAACCCTACCGCCACAAAGCCTTCAGATTATACATCACGAAGCCTCCAGACCAGATCGCTGACTCTCCCCAATCCCCAGATCAATTCCTATGCTTTCCACGTCGCGTGATCGATGAGCCTCCCCAATCGCAGAATCTCCTCAGTCGCAAAGTATGGAGGCGACCTGGCGTGTCAATGACCCTTCGTCTATTTCTTAACAAGTAAAACACAGGATCGCAAACGTGTGCCACAGCAGCGCCCAAAGGTTTTTTAGTCACAAGGAAGGAAACTGTCAAGCTTCCACATCAAAATAACAAAATTTTTTCAAGCGAAGTGCAGATACTACACCAGAACCGGTTACTACTATTAAATAACTCTATGGAAAAATAGATGAATCTTTATTATTTACTATACAATATGCGCAAAGGCAAGTGAAATGACTACAAATAGTTATCACCACGCCCGGCTCGTGAAA